AACTCCCGCCCCCCCCCCCCCCCCGCCCCCGCCCAGCCGGATCTACTGAATCAAGCAATTCCTTTGCATGCTAACCCCTTGAGAAGCACCGCCTGGAGTGATTCCCAGGCATCTTTATTTATTGAAGCTGCATAAGCAACTCTGATACTTATCCAGGGTTAAGAAACACTGGCCTAATATACTGGCCAACAAAAAGCATCAATCTATAAAATTGTATCACGTTGAAGAAAACCAAAGCAATTAAGAAAATTGGCAGATTGATTACTGTAGACACTCTGTCTTACCTTTTCTTCCTCCTGCTGCAACCTCAGTGACCGTAATAAATTGCTCATGCTGGACATTTCATAACCCAGTACTGTCCTTTCGTATTGCTGTTGTCATCTTCACATCAGCATGTTTTTATGTCTGTATGAGAAAGCCACTAGGGTCTCAGTGAGCACATGCCCTGAGCGGGAGCCATTGTCATTAAAACATTCTTGGGAAGGAGGAGCAAAGGTGATCCCAATAACAGCCAGCAGGCTAATGAGTGAAGAGAACAGAGGAAACAGAGAAACACCTCATCTCCTTAAAACCTATGAAATCAACACGTCAATCCTGAGCACAGTTCAAGATGTAAGAAATAAGGAGAGGGACTTCCCTGGTGGCACAATGGTTAAGAATCCACCTGCCAGTGCAGGGGACACTGGTTCAAGCCCTGGTCTGGGAAGATCCCACAGGCCGTGGAGCAACTAAGCCCGTGCACCACAACTACCAAGCCCGTGTGCCACAACTACTGAAGCCCATGTGCCTAGAGCCCGTGCTGCGCAACAAGGGAAGCCACCGCAGTGAGAAGCCCACGCATCACAACAAAGAGTAGCCCCTGCTCGCCGCAACGAGAAAGCCCACGCGCAGCAACGAAAACCCAACGCCGCCAAAAATAAATTAATTTTTAAAAAATAAGGAGAAAAAATGGTCTAGGAAGACCTAACATAGATGCTACAAAACATGTACGCTTCATTTAAAAAGAAAATCCCCTGTGGCCCTTACTGTAATTGTTATTTTTTTTAAAAAAGGTTTTCATTTAAAAAGGCATATTGAACTATAATCTGCTGACATCTGAAGGAAAACCTCTCTTCAGGGGTGCTTCTCAAACTTTAATGTGCATAGGAATCACCTGGGGATCTTGCTGAACTGAGATCTGATTCTATAGGTCGGGGTGGAGCCTGGGAGTCCGTCTACATTTCCAGCATAGGTGCCAGTGGGCGGCAAGCCCTAAAGAGCACCACTGCCACCTGCTGGCGGCAATTCACATCGCAAGTCCAGACATAGGAAAGAGAGGGTTGGCCCTGTGTGGGGAACATGCCAAGCCATAGAGCAGTTCTGCCTCTCTTTTGCTTTATCCCAGGCTTTAGTGGCATCTCTAAACTCAGCTCCTTGATTTTATTTGCTTCTTCCAATCTTCATCTCGAGGAGCATGCTTGAGCATAGACAGTTTGGGGTCAGCAAAGGACAGGGGAAGCCAGCTGAACAGGAAGAGACGGCAGGTCCTGACCATCCAGGCACACAGGGTCTAAAAGCTTGTGAGGTCCCTAGTGAGCCGAGGCACTGATTCCAGATGGAGCAGAGTCAGCCAGGCCCAGAGAGGCCCCTGTCATCGCCTACTTCTCTGGTTTTGATTGCCATGCACCACAGCAACAGAATAAAGCATGTTCTCAGAACTTTTTCCCTTAACCTGCCCATTCTGTAGTATCACTCTTTACTAAATATTTCTCATCAATTCTGCTTAAAACTGTATCAACTCATGTTCATTTCTTGCTTTCATTAAAAATATATATCCCTCCCTGCCACGGAGCTGCTTCTTTTGGGGAATGGGAGGACGCCAGTCCCATGGAAGCAACACAATGCAGAGAACAGAAGTCGAGAGCAGCCTCATGGGCGATTGTGTGGCAGCTTAGAGATCCAGGCTGGTCTGGACAGCTGCACCCTTCCCACACAGGGCAGAGCTGGCCCCCGTGTCCTCCTGGACACTCCAGTCCAGAAACTTCTAATTTTACTGTCTCTCTTTTTCACCCATGGAACTCTGCTTTGAAATATTTTTGTCTCCCAAATTGCAGTTGGTAAAAGAACTCATTCCTCATTTTTTGTTAATCAAGGGACTATATACCTCCCAATAAGAAACTTCTGATCAGCACTGAATAATGAGTTTTATCATCCTGAGATGATATAATTTCAGTCGAGAGCAAAGAAGACACCAACTTGGACTTCCCTGGTGGCGCAGTGGTTAAGAATCCACCTGCCAATGCAGGGGACACGGGTTCAAGCCCTGGTCTGGGAAGATCCCACATGCCGCGGAGCAACTAAGCCCTTGCGCCACAGCTACTGAGCCTGTGCTCTAGAGCCCGCATGCCACAACTACTGAAGCCCGCGCGCCTAGAGCCCGTGCTCTGCGACAAGAGAAGCCACCGCAATGAGAAGCCTGTGCACTGCAACGAAGAGCAGCCCCTGCTCGCCACAACTAGAGAAAGCCTGCGCGCAACAACCGAAGACCCAACGCAGCCAAAAATAAATAAATAAAAGACACCAACTTCTACTTGCTTACGTGGCTTTCCATCAATTCCTTTCAGCGTTTGAAAGTTTGAACCAGCTTGCAGCCCCACCATCCCCCTGCCTTCATCCTAACCTTCATCTACTTGCAGAGGTCCCAAGATCCTAACCAGAGCTGTCCTAGTCTTTATTACAACTAAAAGAAGGGGCAAAAATCTAAGGTAGCTACAAATAAGAACAGGTATCTGTCGATACAGGTGGATAATTTCTATGGTTGCCCCACCCAGGGAAGTGAAGGATAAGATAAGTAGCCATTTCTCAATCTACACTTCCTGCCCTCCCCTCAGCACTGGCCCTGCAGGTTCTTCCCACCTTTATAGAGAGCCAACACACAATTCTAAAAAGTTAGGATGGGAGTAAAAGACCATAAGCTCCAGGGACTCAGTCTGGGTGAATGCCCGCATCTGGGGGTCTGCACTTATATGGTCTGAACTAGGAGACCACTCTGAGGGCCTTCTTAGACTTGACTGGGAGGTCCCTGCTTCTGAAGTCTGTAACTGTGGCTGATACAGAGACTTCTACAACAGTCATGGAAATAAGTACCAGCCCAGTGTCCAGGACCTTGGTGCCTGGTGAAAATCAGTTATGGATATAAATAAATAAGTATACCTTGCATCTTGCTACTTTTTTTTTTTTTAACTTTCTTTTCGTTGGCATCTCAGGGGGCTCTGGTGGAGAAAGCGGGGAGTGAGCATTGAATGCAATGAGAGAGAAGCAGAATAACAGAGTCCCTTTCCATTCCTTAGGCTGCAAAGTTGACTTGTCATTTTTAATTGATGGGAGCGCGAGCATTGGCAAACGTCGATTCCGAATCCAGAAGCAGTTCCTGGCCGACGTTGCCCAAGCTCTTGACATTGGCCCTACTGGTCCACTGATGGGTGTTGTTCAGTACGGGTAAGTACTGCTCTGAATTCAGAAATCAAGGGATGTCCCATGCTTAATTTTGTGCCAGAAAAAAGTACCGACACATCCTAGAGCACAGCAGACTCATCCTCTTCCCTGATACAAAGGTAAATGAAAGAAACCGAAGCAATCCAGGTGCCGCTGAAGAAATCTGAGGCTTCCAGAAGGAGGGACAAGTTAATCCACACTTGAGAGTAAATGGCATTTGCACTCCTGACTGGTAGAGAGAATATTTGTTTGGGAATTAAGAGAGCCGAGTTCAAGTTTTTGCTCAGCCAATAACAAGCTGCGTGGCCTTGGGCTAGGCCTTCACCTCTCTCACGGTCAGTTTCCTCATCGAGGCTGGCCCCCTTTCAACCCTGACTATTAGAGTATTTGTTTGAGGGGCCCGTGTGCTCCACCTATAGGTGGGATGCCCAGAAAACATGGTGGTCTAAGTTGAACTTTCTCCTTTCTCTGGACAACCTTAGGCCTCTACACTGGTACTGGGAAAGCTCACCCGGCAATGCGGAGGACTGGGTGGGGGGAAGGGATGGCCCCCAGCACTCGCCCAGGTGACTGTCCCCAGTCCACTTTACTCTTCTACATAGGGTAGAAATTGAGGGCGCATACTAACATCCAATCTCAACTTTTCTCTCATTGGGGATAATAAGTCAATCTTATTTCAGATGTAATAGATTTCTCGCTAAAGCAGATATACAGATATCAACTGAAAATAAATAGGCAATCAAAAGCGTAAACAAGCACAAATCTCAAATAGCAGGTGGGCTTTTGATCAAGAGCCACTAAGGGCAGGATAACTGTCTCACTTTCCACAAAGGACCTCGGGCACAGCCCGCCCGTCCTCCCAGATCTGCAGCTTAGCCTCGGCCGTGGACACTAACCTAGGCCTTAGTACCTCTTGTTCAGAGGCCACGGCCTGAAAAGTAAAAAACACACACCTGACAACATCTGGGGCTGTCTCTGGTCCCTTCAAATGTTTCCCGGGGACATCCCAGAACAGCATTTTAACCGAGCTTGTTATGTCACAGACACTAGAATATTTAGTTTTGAGATGTCCAAAGAAATAAAATGCTTTATTTTTCATAAGAACCTATAATGTTTGTATTTTTAGAATTAAATTCCAATAACATATTTAGCACTATCTTCTATTTCTGTGAAGGAAAATAGCTAAGTGGCACTTATATATAGTCAGAGCCAAATATATGAAAATAACCAATTGCTACACATGTTAATTCTCAGTGTCAGATGTTCTGGAGGATTTTAACTTGAAATAGGAAAATACGTGGTTTTGGTCATTGTTTTCTTGTTTTCGAGACGTCAACCTATTTTCATTCCTGTGTTACTTTTTAAAGTTAGCAGATGAATAGCAGGCTTCTCTGGGGAGGAAATGTAAGCGTTTTAGTGCCAGATGTTCCCGGTCAGTTTTATTGGGGGGTTCAAAGCTTGGTATGTCATCTTGCATTAAAAATAGCTGCTTTAAAAGCTGTGTATACCAAGGTTTATAGGAGAATATGAAAATAAGGTGATAAATATGTCAAGGAAAAGAAAAATGGCAGGAGCATTGTGTTGTGTGCTGATGGGAACATGGATTAAAGAACAAATGTAGCAGGGAAGGAAAAGATTCAATAAAGACCCCTTCCCTTCAAAAAGACATTTTCTCTCACGTGTCCCTAATGTCATCACCATTTACAGAGAAGAGTTTACCTCCATGCTTTCCAATGTCACTTTCTAAAAATGCCTTCCCTATTCATCTTTTTTTCCATCCAGGGTCCTTATTCATTTAAAGCCCTTAAGGGAAATGTGTCTGTTTTCCTTTACTTCATGCTCATACAAACCGATCAATCATCTTCACCCTCCTTTGGCCACGGGGTGGAGTGGAAAGCACAATGAACTGGTGACAGGACGTCTTGAATTCTAGCCTTAGCTCCGCTGTGTGACCCTAAGCAAGTCACCTAACCTCTCCATGTAAGAGCTGCCATCTCTACAGTACAGGCCGGTCGGACCAGATGATCTATTAGGGCTCTGCCAGCCCTGTTGTTCTGTAATTCAGTGACTGGCTCTGTACTCAGAAGACATCCAATCAATGAATGTTGGGTGAACATGCTGGGTGAGCATCCTCTCCCTTCCAGCCTCAGGTTCTGATTAGGTGGGTGAATGATCAGCAATGAAATGCTGGCTGCACAGAGGTTATACATCCGTCAGGGGAATGTGGGGAACACAATCAGTTGGAGAGAGGCATTAGGAAGGTGTGATGAGGCTGAAGGGGAAATCCACACACTCAACTGAAATTGCTTTTATTTCAGCCACCTGGGTGGCTCCCATCCAGCCTTTCTTCAGCAAATGGTCTTAGTGCGAGAGAGGGCAGGGGGTGGGGTAGGAAAGGGTATGGGGGCAGAGGTCGATGCAGACATGGGGCCAGTGTTCCTGGAAAAGGGCTTTCCAGTGCTTGGCTGGCTGGGAAACTGATTCCTCTACTGGTAATTTGGGTTCTCACCGGATTCTAGTGCCCAGCTCACAACCACAGGGAATCAGCCCTGCTCTCTCAGAATCACAGAGCAATGGGGCCTTAGAAAGCTCCTGGTTCCACCTCCTCGTGTTACAATGAGGAGACAAGGCTCTAAAAGAAATGACCACCTTGGCAAGAACGAGCACTCAAGGTGAGACTGGGGTTGGAAAGGAGCTGGCCAAGGTTGGAGGACTCCCAAGCTCAGAATTTCTCCTGCTCTCAGGCCTCTCCCCTCTGTCACCGCTGCCGTGGGTCCACATGGGAGACTCCCCCCAGAAGATTCCTTCCCTTGGTTTTCCTTAGAGCTGAGGCAGAACTTAGACTTTTGAATTTGGAATTTAGAAGACTCATACTATTAACAGGAAACAGAAGGCAAATAAGAAATTAAAATACGAGAAGGATAAAAATGACCTGATGTACAAAATGCTCGTTCTGTATCCTGATCAGTAAGCATCCTACACAAAGATATTTTGGATGCAGGAAACAGAAAACCAACCCAGGCAGGCAGGTGAAGGGAGAGTGATGTCACAGGACTGGCAAGTCTTGGTCATTCCCTCCCTAGTCCTTTCCCTGCATCTCCTCGTCTCTCTGCTTGTCCACTCCGTTCTCTCCTCAGTGGACAGCGTCATCCCCTGCCAGGCTCGTGGTTTCTGCTCCTCTGTAACTTTCCCCTTGCCCTGGCTGGGCTCCTAATTCTGGTTCGGACCAGGGGGAGCCCTTCAGCCCCTGTGGTGCCAGCATGCTCCCTCTCCCACATCCCCCTACCCACACCTGCAGAGGCTCGGAGCCCAGGCCCGCGTTAACCTTTCAGCAAACACAGCGTTCCTTCCACAGTCATCACGCACCTCCAGTAAGAGACGCAGCGTATGACACAGATGCAGAGAGGTTGAGTGACTTGCCTAAGAACACACAGCTAAATGCATGACCACTGGGGAGAGCAGAGATGTTAAATCCTGGGTCAATCCCTAAAATGTCAAACCAAATTGACTTCAAGATTTTGCTCCTCTGCCAAGAAAGCTCCTGATAATGGAGGCTTTCCACCAAACTGAGGACAGAGACACGGCTGAAGACAAAGCCAAGGCTCAAGCCCCCATCTCGCACACATGTTCTAATTTACAGTTAAACAGCCAACATGCTTGTGATTGCGCTTACGACCAACAGGAACATTAAGAGGCCAGATGAAAACATGGCCAGAGGAAGTCGCTGTTAGGTGAAGTCTAGCAAACAGAATAAGGAAGAGAAGCTGCTCACATTTTAGCTGCCACCTGGATCCCCAGGGGCTAAATGTCCGCTGGACCTTCCATAGGATTTTGTTTTTATCCCTGATTTCAGTATAAATGGAACAGGATTGCACAGGTTCTTTTGAACTCTGTAATCAACCCTAGGATACCAACACTGGAAAACAGATGTAGAATAAAGCCAAGTATCGGTTTCTCTTCATTTCAAAGTGAAATCCGTTTTTCTTTGCTCACGGTTCTCTGACAGGCGCCCCATGTTTTGGCTCTGAGGTGGGCTGCATCTCTTTACATTTTTACTTCACAGCCCACCCAACTCAGCCTTGACTGAGCACCCTCAGCTGAGCCTCCCTTCCTGCCCCCCCAAAGCGGGAAGGATGCCCAAGGGCTCCCGTGGATCAGCTGAGCCACTGAGTGTGGGGCAAGTAGAGTAGGGAGAAGAAACGAGGTGTCGGGTCTGGTGTGATGGGCAGAATAATGGCCGCAAAGCTGCCCACGTCTGGAACCTCTGGATGTGTTACCTCCCAGAGCAGGAGCGGCTTTGTGGATGTGGTTAAAGTCAAGGACCCTGAGATGGGGAGATTGTCCCGGATTACCCAGTGTTCCAGTTTAATCAGCTGAGTCCTTAAAAGCAGAGAACTTTTCGCAGCTATTATCAGTTGGAGGGAGTTGTGACTTCGGAAGATTAGTCGGAAAGATGCGACAGCTTTCTTTGAAGCTGGAGGAAAGGGGCCCTGACCAAGAAATGCAGGCTGAAAATGCAAGGCAATGACACTCTCTGTCTGTCTGTCTGTCTGTCTGTCTGTCTTCTCTGTGTCTGTCTGTCTGTCTGTCTGTCTGTCTCTCTCTCTCTCTCTCTCTCTCTCTCTCGAGCCTTCAGAAAGAAGCAGAGCCCTGCCAGGGAGACCCAGTTCGGACTTCTGACCTCCAGAGCTGTAAACTGATATGTGTGTTGTTGAAGCCCCTAAGTTTACAACTGAGATAGGGAACTAATACACCTGGCAAGGAGGACCATTCTGTCACATTTCCTTGAGCCTGCAGCAAAGGAAGGAATGGGAGGGGCTGGGGCATGAGCCCTGGCTGGAGGGGGCCTGGGAGTTGCAAGTCTCAGCACCTCAGGACTTCAGAGCAGGAAGGGACTGCCCAGCCCCGACTTCACATTGTGATCCCCAGGGGAGCTTTTAGAGATGCTGATGCCTGGGCCCCATCCCAGCCCTATTAAACCAGAATCCTGCAAATACCCAGAA